TTCTTGAACGAACCTTGGAGGGCATGATCTAGATATCTAGTTCAGGACCCAGCACTCCATTATCATTTTTTCTTAGTACTTTGACCAGGTATCAGACTCTGCAATCACTGCCACCTGGTGAAATAAGAAGAGTCTCTGAGGAAGTTTCAGAGAAGCCCTAATCTGTGGGTATATAAACATAAGTATTCAAAGGTAATTCAACATATACATTTAGTAAAACAATTATATATTTCCTATGAGGGCCTGTGGCCTCCCCAACCTCAGGTTCTTGACCAGCTTTATAGTAACACAGCATTACTTTTAATAGCAAAAGATTGGAAGCAGCCAGAATGTCTGGTGAAAGTGAACTGATTATGGCAGTGCCATTACATGGTAGAATTGTTGATAATAGTTGTTTGTTTGAGACAGGGTCTCCCTCTATAATCCAGGCTGGCCTCAAAATTGACATCCTCCTGCTTCAACCTCCTGGGTGCTGGAATTACAGGCATGTGACACCATACCCAGATTGTTTTTATGTCTTTATACTTTTCAATCTTGTCCAACTAGTCTGTACTGAGAATTAGGTTGGGGAAGGGTTGATGTGTTTTAAAAAATTGTTCCTCTGCTGAACCTAGTCAGCCTATCTAGAGTTCCTTGTTTTAGGGAGATCAGCTCTTCCTCATCTAGCAGCAGTCAGTTGCCAATATTCTTTTAGATAAGATTGGGGTCTACTATTCATTTTCCCAGTTCTATGCTGGGTTAATATCTGGAATCTCTTCGGGCACCCTGGTCAACAGCTCAAAGGAAGGTATCACCTGTCTGGCATTGTTTCTTGTTAAGTAGCCTTTAGCTATACACATGGACTCTTAAAAATTATATTAACACCTTTAATCTTTGGTTATACTTTCCTTTTGGGTATTTAAGACCATACAGTTGGCCCAGATAAACCACTTTATTTTTACTCTTAATGCCATTTGAGGCTCTGTTTCTCAGGGGTCACATGGGCTTGGGAGGAGCCCCTGGCTGTTTTACTAGTTCCATCTGTGTGAAGATAAGTCAAAAGTCCTACTTGACCATGGCCGGCTTTGCTTGGAAGCATGGAGGAAATGTTTCCTGTGTTGACCCTCCTCTTTGTAGACTGGACACTGGTTCAAGTCCATTTGATAGGGTCTCCATGGCCTCCTTGATCAACAGGACAAGGTGACTCACCACAATTACAGGACATTTTGAGAGATGCTCTTAGTCCCCTGGAACTTAGTCAACCTAGGAGGGCAAGGAGCAAAAATTGTCCTTTATGTCCCT